CCCCTAACCCAGCACTGCCAGGGCCACCACTAACCCCTGGCCCCAAGTGCCACATCCACACAGTGTTTTTCTGAACACTTGCAGGGACAGTGATCCCACTGCCCTGAACTGCCAGCTCCAATGCTCAACAAGCCTTCTGGTGAAAAACTTTTCCTTAATATCTTAAATATGTGCCTCCCCTGGGCACAACTTGAGGCCGTTTCCTCTTGTAGCATCACTCGCTACTTGGGAGAAGTCACTTCTATTCCTGTTCAGAGCCTAAAATTGTAACAGAAGTTTTAAATCTGCTTTACAGTTTTTCCCTGAGACAGAACCTTCGGAGGAGCCCATTATGAGAAGGACACAAATGCTACAGACATTATTTCCCAAATATCTCTGGGCATTCAAGGTGCAAACTGTTAAAGAGAACACCTTAAGGACCCTCAAGGCACACAACCTAAAAGGGAAGTGTTTTCTGGCAATCTGCTTCCTCAGCACCTCCTAAAGAACAAATACTTGAGGTTTTTCCTTTAATTAACAGAGCTCCTTATTTGTGTGACACTTTAAACAGCCCCCAGCCCAACAGCTGGAACAGAGAGGTTTTCAAAGGACTCTCTAACCCACACAGGCAGTCCCGGGAGGGCAGGGAGAGGGAAGGGCTCCAGAGGGGAGAGGGCAGAATACATAAACACCTTCTTTTATGTTGAGCCTGAAAGGTTCCAAAAGCCCAAGAGAACCCACTTTTAAAGCAGTGCTTTAAAAGGATCAAAAAAGAGACAAGTGTTTTTTTATATCTAGGTGTCAGCGTGAAATGCCAAATAAAAATAATCAGCCAGTACTATTAGAGCAAAAAGACAAAGAACTGAAAAGAGGTAATTTTGAAACACATGTCCCAAGTCATCACTATCTTCTGAACATGGGACAGCATCTGCCTGTGGGGTTTACACGCCAAAAAAACCTTCATCTGCCCCAAAGCTGAGAGGGCTTTGTGAAAACTGCACCAAGGATTTGAAACCAACACAGAAAATTTCAGCTTCCTGGGGTTTTGCAGCCCAAGAACCACAAAACACAACTTTAAGGTAAATGTGGCTTTTTTGAACTTATGTTGGGATTCTTGAAAAACCTCCCTGTGTAAGCCCTGTGTAAATTTTTACATGTATGAAGGTGGTTTTTTTTTTGGAATTCCAAAAAATCCTGAACAAAAAGGCATGAATGCTTCCGAGGAAAGCACCCACGTACATCCTCACAGGACACATTGATCTGCTCTTCATCTACATTTCAGCCAGCTGCTCGCCAAGAACAGAGCACACACATTAGTCTGGGACACATCCTCCTTTTCTTCATCAAAGATCAAATTTGGGTGTTTAGTAAATATGGCCTTCCTACATATTTGAAAATATATTAACTAGATAAAAATAGCAAGTGGCTTCTGTGAAGAGATTGGCAGCCTCAGGAACCTAATTGTTCACAGCAGGCAGAACTGCATGAATCATGTGGAGAAGGGGACAAGAACCTCAGTGCTACAGAGGGGAACAATTGTCCAGTTCTGCTGCAGCTCCCATGTCCTATTCAACCCAAAACACAACCTGTGACCCCACCCCAACGTTAAATCTCTCAGCACAACCAGATGCAAGCAGAGAAGGATCCCAGAGTGGCTTGGATTGGAAGGGCCTTTAAAGCCCATCCCATTCCACCCCCTGCCATGGGCAGGGACATCTTCCATCATAACCCAGATCCACACTCTTGGATTCAGCCCAGGATCAGACCTGAATGAAGACACCTGGAAGTTCAGCCCAGTTAACAGATTATTCCTGAACTTTCTGCATACATATTGTGTAAGGGCCTGTGACCAGGAGAAAATCTCTTAAGAGGATGTGAACAAAAGCAGCTGAAATTTTAAAGCACTCTTCCTCAATCCTCCTTGCATAATTACCCTTTGCTGAGAAAGCATCAGACAGAAATAGTTACTCGAGATAAATGGAAAAACATGGACACTCATCCCTCAAGATGTAATTTCTACAGAGAATCGGAACCCTTCAGGTTGGAAAAGGCTTCAAGTTCATCAGTGCATGTTTTTCTTACAGGCTGGCAACTTATTTTTATGATACTTTCATGATATGCTTCAAAGGGCAGGCTGAGTGTGACACTTCATTTAATATTTTAACATTAAACATGACCATTCCTGCTGTTTTATGACCATTCCTGACATTCAAGTGATACATTGCTCACTGAGGTACTGAAAAAAGTAAGGTGGTGAAGGCTGCACTAGTATAAAAATATTTTTAGGTCAAATTTGGAAAGAGAGTAAATGATCACAGCTTTCTGAAAAAACACATTAAAGGCTTTATTCTGTACCTTTTACTGGGGGAAAATCTCATTTTTATTTTAAGTTTCTCCACTGAGAGAGGTGGAACCTCCAGTGACTGCAACAGCTACTTGCTGTCTCAAGTGAGGATGGTGGATGGCTTTTATGCTTTTTTAAACACTAAAAATAATTACTCCACATGAAATGAATAAATAACTCTTAAATATATCCCAAAGTACACAGAGAAAAAAAAAACTTTTTTGTCACCCCAGCAGAGACACCCTGGACCATAATTTGTCTTTTTTTTTTTTTTTATTAGACTCACCAGAAAACAAAGTACTGAAATAATCATGACATGACTTAAAATATTGACAGACATGCCAGAGATGTGGAAAAGCCTTTAAGTCATGTTTCACACCTCTGTAGCTTTTTGGAAACAAAACCCAAACAACTAACAGAAACCTCCTGACACCCACTACTCTTGTAAACTTCAGTTCACCTCGGTCTGCAAAGAATTCAGTCTCAAATTCCACATACACCACACATTTCTGTTTGCTCCTACAGGCAGAATTAAATTTTAAATGGGGTGGGAAAAAGAAAGCCACAGCATTTCCCACACCTTAATTGTTGTTCCAGTAGGTGAAGCACCCAGAAGTCGTAGGTTTTTCTTCCAGTCACTTAGAAGGTCCTTAGAAGATCACAAATCCCTAGGATTCCTTATTTCCCATCAATTCCTCCTTGTATCATCACAGAAAAAAACTGACAGTCCCAGACTACTGAAATTCCCCTCTAACAACAGGGTAACACATTGCTGCTTTTCTTACATCTGATTTAAAATGTGTCACTCAGCAGCACAGCTAAGTGTATGTCAAATACGCAGAGGAAGAGTCTCAAGGCCGTTTTTCTTCCTAATAAAAACTTGTTCTTTGAGAAAACAAAGGTTTGCAAGTTACAAACACATAAGGGACTGAAAAGTTCTGAAAAGAAATAAAAACTGGGGCAGGCAGTGAGAGAAAACTCCACTGTGAAGCCTAGGATTCCTCCTCTTGGTGGGGAGGTGGTGATGGGCAGCAAGAGAAATCGGACACTTAGAGAGCTGAAGGAAATTTGAAACCATTTTTGCATAGTTAAAATTCATTTACTGGAATGCTGAAGCCTTCAAGGCCTACAGGAGATGTGGCACTTGTCTGATGCAGGGCAGGTTTTGTGGTAATTGTAGCAATTTAGAAGGGAAAGGCGAGCAGAAATAGCAGTCCCTGGCCCTAAACCACCACTTTCACGTGAGGCAAATATCCATCACTTCATCCATTAAGCACTGATTTTATGATGCCTGATAAATTTAGATGTTAGGAAGCCATTCCAAACCAGTAAACTCAGGTTTTTCTAAATTGATCAAGTAGCTGACACCTTAACATCCGATACACATCCTCTTCTTTATCCAATTTAACAGCCTGGCACATTTACAGCCCCTCAGAAAAGGAAGAGGGGAGGATCCACAAGGGTCTCCAACGTGAAGGATTACACTTTCTTTTCTAGAGGCCTGTTTGAAGGACCTAAAAGTGCTCAAGACCAGGTTGGACCAGGCTTGGAGTGACCCAAGATGGTGGAAAATGTCCCTGCCCGTGGCAGAGGATGGAATCGGGTGAGCTTTAAAGGCCCTTTAACCCAAACCACTCTTTGGTTCTGTGATTCTCTGACAGAAGTAAAACACAACCAAATCACCACTGCATGTTTACTGAGGATAATTTATATGGTTTGAATTTCCTTTAATGCTGACTTGATTGGAAACCTTGACCTTATCCCTCACAAGGCAAATCAGAGCTCTTAATTATTCCAGTTTTCCTCTTGTTAATGAAATGCAACAGTGTCATTAGTGAGGCTTGTCAGCCACACTTATGTGCAGAGAAATGATTTGACACTGCTTTTGTCATCTAATCCTTTCAGGAAAAACAGTCACAGCGTCACTCAAGCACTGTAAATAAAAATCCTTCAAGACAAAGGGGACAGATGGCAACACTCCCAAGGAGTATCACCTAAAATATTCATCCTTTAGGAGGAGAGGAGGGTTAGCCCTGTCAACAGTCAGTAGATTTGAATCTTCCAAGGGAAAAAAACAACAGCCAAATATCCTCTGTTCATGAAGTGAGGATGTCCATGAAGATCTGTCAGGATAGTGATTTTTGCAGAAGATTTGCTGCACTCAGTGACACGACACCCTCCATCAGCATTTCTCACTATCAGCATCCAGAGGCATGGATCCACACACACCTCTGTGCAGAGGCTCAATTGCTACCACCAATTATTATTGTCAGTTCTAGCTACAAACCAGCAAAAATATTTAGGGCAAACTTACAAACTGCAAGACCTCAGTGTTAGTGGAATTGCACAGGAAAAGCCTTGTCCATCCCTCCCTTCCCCTCTCCTCCCATTTTAACTACAACTCCAGGCTGTTAAAATGTCAACTACCAAGCTAAACCAGCTTCCTGTGGTAAGAGTTAATTAGAAACAAATGTTATCAGAGATGCATGAAACTACAAACTACTGCTGAAGAGACAACTACAGCAAGAGACAAAAACAGTGAGATGTACTAAAGACTTGAAATAAAAAGGAAACAACTCAAAATGATACACAAAACAAGGGGAAAAAACGCTCTAGTACAGAAACCACCATCTGTCTCTTCAAAACGAGAGCTGCCATGAAGACAATGTATAGTTACCTGCATCCATATCTGCAAAGAAGGGAACAGCCAGTAAGGAAAAGAAGGAACCAGAAATTCAGTGTCTCAGAGTTGGATTTAAAAGTTCATAAGGAGAACAGATAAAGAAAAATAATCAAAAAAGTATTTACTGTAAATTAAACCTTGATAAGGTACTGTGATATTTTTGATTTCAAGCTATAAACTTGGATTACTGTTAAACACTACAGCATAAAAATTATTTTTCTATGCCATAAAAACATTTTTTAAAAAAAAGACCAAATATTTAATACATTAAACAATAAGCAAAGTTACACCTTTAAGTTCAGGCTGGTGAAGATTGTTATCCTCTCAACATCCTGATTGTACAGAAATCCACCACTACAGACAGTAATTGTGGCTTTCAACAGCCCAAAGCAGCACTACTAAGAGCAGTCAACTCCTCTGCATCAGGACTAATTCCCATATGGACACACACTGTGGGCCAAAGTAGTTAAAGGATGCTAAGCAATTATGGAAAATCTACAATTATACTCATCCTACATACTTGGTCTGGAGAATGTTAAAGCAAAAATCTCCATGAATTTTGAAGTAGTGCATGGATTTTTATTTTTTTTTTTTTTGTTAATTCATTTTTGCATGATCAAGAATGAATAAGGATGTAGTTTTGGGAGGGGAAAAGAAGAGTGGGATTTGTGTATGCACATACCTTCAGGTGACTCCTCCTGGACATAGGTGCCGGTCAGGTACCGGTGCACCAGCGCTGACTTCCCACTTGCCAGGTTACCCACAATCCCCTGGAAATAAAAATAAAAAGGAGGAGGAACAAAAAATTCAACTGCAATTAATCCCTGTAAAAAGAAATGCATTCAAGCAAAATCTTCACACGGCAGTAACATCCCGAACAACAGACATGGTGCAAAACGTGCCAAGAGATAAAATAAATGGCTGAGCAGTTTGGGGTGCAAAGGACCTTCGAGATCATCTTGTTCCACCACCTTCCACCTCCCCATGGTGCTCCAAGCCTCATTCAACCTGGCCTTGGACACTTCCAGGGATGGGGCATCCTGTCCCAGGGCCTCCCCACACTCACAGGGAAGTATTTCAGCCCAAGCCCACAGGGGTTTTCTTCCTGGAGGTGCTCAAAAGCCAAAAGACTTGAGTGTACTTGGGGTTTGTGGATGTAAAGGGGAACACAGAGCTGAGGACACTGTGCTCCCTTCTTGGGGGTGGGAGGTGATGGAAAATTCTTTCCCCCTTTGAAACAAGCCCAGCCTGCTCTGTTCTCTCCTGTTTACTTGACCCTCACCAGAGGTTGAGAACAGAAGGTCCCTGGAGAGAAGATGAACTCTGCTGATCTGCTCAAGATTGCCAAATGGACCGAGGCAGCAGCAATGGGCTGCACATCACTGCACATTCTCTACCCCATCTTCTTAATCCTAATTGGCAAGGAACTGTCCTCCTTATCAGACAGGAGCCAGCCACGTGTGCTGGCACCCCAAATTCCCCCCTGCCTTGGACTGAGCCCACAGCGTGGGCAGCAGGGGAGGGAGGGATGCTGGGATGAGTCACAGGAAGAAAATGACATCTCTAACATGTCCCTTACCCCCAGAACATGAAGCAACCTCTCTAATTAATGAATTTTCTCTCCATTATATGCCCATGTACTGCAATACGTTTGCCTACTCCCACTCACAGCACAAAACCATTGAGACCTGAGGGAACCCTGTGAGTAAACATTTCAGCCTTGGCACCTCTTCTCGTCACCAAACCAACACCACCTCCCCTTCCTTACAAAGCTTCCCAGTCAAGTTCCTTCCCACTATTTTTTTTGCCTACAACAATGTACAAAATCCCCCCATTCAGGATTCACCACCATCAAAAAAGAGTTAACTTAGTGTGTGAAAGCTGAACTGTATTTTTAATGGTCTAGACATCTGGCCAAGACACAGTTTTCCAGTGAAACCTTCACTTACAAGTGATTAGCCTTGTGTGGATGGAAACTAATGTTATTTTCTATTACACTCATGCCAAAACTGTAATTTCCAGGGAAAAGCATCAACCTGGGGGTCCAATCAGAGGCAACATCCCATGGCTCGGATGGTTTTTTCTATCCAGAGACCCCCAATATTTGAAAGACATCAAATGATTCAAGAACACATACTTCAATTTTTTTAAATATCCCAAAGGTCATACCAGGTTACACCATTTGACAGCACTTCAGGTTCTCTGACACATTCTTACAAAGTAGCAGAAATAAATTCTACACTGGTGAAAAAAAATAAAAATCTGAGTTCTGATACAGTTTCTCTCTTAATCAGCATTAATATTTGCTTCAAGGCTGATCCCCCACAGTATGACAAAAATGCCAGCCTGTTTTCACAGCAGTCATATTCCTCTCTCCCCTGTTTCATACACAAACAATCCGAATCATCTCCATTTATTTATGGATATGTCTGAAATGCACCAAGTTATGACAAGCATGTTAGGGAACAAAAATACCACCCTAACCCAGTTCTGGGAGGAGAAAATTCAGCTACAACTCACTGCTCTTTTCAGTTATGACTTGTGCAACACTGAATCATTTATTTCCATGTGCCAGACATGCTGTAAAACAAACTCAAGCCACTTTGCCCACTCCTCCTAAAGCCTGTTGGGAAAAATAATAAACTGTATTGATGGCACTTGGCATTTTAAAGCTGTCCCTGAGAGGAGCCTGACTGCACTTTGCATATTTTTTTGCAAGAAATTTGGTGATTTTATCCAGAAATACATCATGTTTATTCAGCCTAACATATCCTTATTTAATATCTGAATAAACAGGACCCAGAAACCCCAAAGGCACTGGTATCACCATGTTCCTGACCACAATAAAAGCATGAAAAGCCGTAAGTTAAACTCAAGTACTGGATCAGCAGGAACCCATTACAGAATCCCAGACTGGTTTGGGTTGGAAGGGACCTTAAAGCTCATGCAGTTACACCCCCTGCCATGGGCAGGGACACCTTCCCCTATTTCAGGTTGCTCCACACCCCCTCCAAGGTGGCCTTGAATATCCTTCTGAGCACTGGAAAGAAACCAACCCTCATGCTGCTGAAAAAAGGAGGCAAAGACTGGTGTTTTTTCCTCAAAGGAACACTGAAAAATACCTCCTTCCTTTATTGCAGCCCTGGGGGCTTTCTCTGCTCTCCCAGAGCCAGTTTCTGTTCCCTTTAAAATTATGCAGAGCCCAAAGGGTGCAACAACAGCCACTCTAGAAATAAATAATAAATAAGTATTTGCCTCCCAGCCTGTACAGGAGGACACCCTCTCCCTTTAACATGGCCCTCATGTTCCTCAGCCACAAGGAGCACCCAGGATGAAGCTGAACTTTGGGAATGACAGAGGTGACCCACAGCCCCAGCCCCTCCCCAAGGGCAGACGTGAAGGAAAGGTAGAGCGGATTTCAGCTGGGCTTCCTAATTTACCCTTCCTGTTGGAGCACAAGTTCACAGGAACAACTGCTGTTGCTGGCTTCCATCATTTGCAGTGCTATAATCAAATTATTCTTTTTGTAACAGCAGAAGTTCTGCTTTTACCCTTTGGCAGCAATCTCGTGGCATGCTGACCACTGCAAATCAATTCTCTGCAGCAGCCACACAGCTGAAATCTGCTTTCCCACCGCCCTGCTTCAGACAACACAGGCAAGACACCCAAGGTAAGCACTGACATGATGCAGCCAGGCTGTCACAAGAGAAAAATGTACCCTGACACCATCATATGGTGCTTGGTAATCGTTTGTGTTCTCAACTACAACATGGAGTACCTGCAACTCTGGTCTCACCTGCAATTCCTAATTTTCTTGGTGGGTGCTGTGAATGAACAGGGCTCAGAGAAGGGGAAGGCATGTGCAAGGAAACCCAGGATAAGCCAGCTACCAGTGCTGGACTCCTATCCAACCAATACATCCCAGTCCTGAATTCCTGGTTTTTCACTGTGTGAGGTATTTGTGGTCTTCCAAATGACAGCATCTGTTTAACAAAACTCAGGCACCTTTCCTGTATTAGGGAGTTACATCCACTGACTGGCAGATTCTTCTTGTACTCACCTTGAGCACTGCTAAAGTCAAAATGGCCACACAACTGTAGTTGTGAGGATGCTGCCCCCATTAAAATGCCTCTCTCAGTGAATTTATCCTGTTAAATGTGCCCTTGCAGATACTCTCACCTCTATAAAACATTATTATCAATTCAGACTTGGGAAAGGGTTAAATTCTTTAAAGAGAGGGAGAACAGACATCTGGTCCTTTAAGAAATCATGAAAGCTTAATATGGGGAGATAAAATGAGCTTTACGCGTCAGCTGCTAACTTCCACTGCCCTCATAAGACTTCCCTGCTGAGAAGATCCCCCTTGGAAGCTGCTTCTTGGAGCAGAACAAACTCAAACAGCAATAAAATACTGAGAGATCTTTGAAGTATGATTAAAATAAATATTGAATATACATCATCTTCATAAAGATAGCCTCAGCCCTGGAAGTGTGTTCAGGGTCAGGTTGGAGGGGGCTTGGAGCAACCTGGAATAGTGGAAAGTGTTCCTGCCTGTGGCAGGGGGTGGAAGGGGGTGAGCTTTGAGGTCTCTCCCAATCTAAACCCTTCAGTGGGTCTATAACAGATACATAGAGGGAAAATTTCTGTATTTATTAAAATTGCTTTCTACATTTTTTCCCAACAGCAGCTCGAATTAAGCCTGGAAGATCCCCACTTGTGTGGGACATTTCCAGGATGTTTTCCAAGACAGGAGCAAACATGAACTCACCACTTTCAGCTCTGGTACAGATCGGCTCAGTGTCCATTCCTGGCTATTCACAAAGGCATCTGTGGAAGAGGAAAACATTCCCAACATCAGGATAATGACATTTAATACTCTGCTGCACACAATTTCATGCCACTGTTTTGGGAATGCGAGACCAAAGGCCACGCCTGATTCTTGGGAGGCTGACAGTCCAACATGACAAAAACCATGGAAATGATACAAAAAAAATTCCAGAAATTGCCATTCTGCATGGATTTGCTCTCAGCAGCAAGTGCTCCCACATCATCAGCAAGCTCAAAGTAACCCCAGGCTCTTGGAGCTGTGCAAAGGCTCTTCCGGTGTGTACCTGGTTAAACCATTTCCCATGCACAGCAACACATTCCTTCCCTACAGGAGAAGCCTTGGATTTGTCACGTTACAAGTCACTGACTGCAGCTGCCACCATCTGCAGTAACTTCTCCACCCAGGTAAATAAGAAAATTTGCTGGTTCTAAAGCATGTTATTTTCTACTGCACATCACAATGTCAGCAACTTCAGCAACCAGTCAGTGGGAACATCCCTGCTTAGGAAGGGGGAAATCTCTCTTTTTTCCTCAAACACACTATTTTTTCAATAGCATAATCTAAGCAGAAATAAACCACAGATCCATTTACTACAAAATTAATTAAAAACTACTTGGGGCAGGGATTGATTTCTTGAAGAAAGGCAAGTTTCTCACAGAAATTATGTTCTTTGGGCTGCACTTGGCTCCTGCCTCACTGACAATTCCACACCAAAGAAGAGAAATAAGGCTCTGTTTTTCTGTATTTAGAAACTTTCACAATTTCGTTCCTTCCCTAAAGGTCTGATCAGCTGTAAGCAAACAGACAGTGATGTTTCTGTTACAAACCCAGCATGGATCCTGATTGAACCCCTCCAGAACCATGCGAACCAGCTGAATGCCTGTTCTGCACGGAATGCTCTTACTGAGGAGATCAGCTCCAACTCCACAGAAATGAAGCAGCACCGAGATTTCCAGTGTTCCAATCAATTCCTGAAGCCACAGGAAAATAACAGATGGAAAGTTACACCTTACCACATTTTTAAGAAAGCCACTTAAGGTCCTGCAAGCCACTGCTTCCCCTCCAATAAACCCATCAGCAGGAGGAGAAGGCAGTTTCATTTCATTTTTTGATCTGGAGAGTAATTCTGTGATTCTGTGAAATTGAAGGCAATTTCCTACTCTAGATGTGACCCTCACTAACTTCAGAAACCACCCAAGTTTTCCCAGCACCCACCTAAAAACAAACACTTGCATTTTCCAGTGTCTCTATTAAATATCTTGCTCTTGCCTCAATATCCCAAAAAGACCTATTAGCTAGGAATTAGGAAAGCTCCAGATGTATGTAACATCTTTCTGTATTAAATCCTGTGTGTACCTATATGAAAACACATGGAAAATGATCAGTATTTTGGTACAGGGATGAGCTCCTCCCACACACTCACTGGCAGGGGAAGGAAAACCAAAGGCTCAGAGTGAAAAGCTCTGAAGACCTGGGGTAAACTTTGGCATTCCATGTGCAAGAGAAGACACTGGTCATGCAGCTCCTGTTCCATCACCTGAAGTCCCTCTGGATCAAAACCCCAGGAAGAGCTTTCTGTGCTACACCCAGCTGACAATAACTTGAGATAGACACAAAACAAGCAACAATTTTCATTTGGGAACACTGCATGCAAGACCTGCTCATGATTAAAGCATTCCAAAGGGACCACAGCTTGGTTTAGGGATGTTCTCCTACCTTCCTGTGGTAAGGAATGTTTTCCCAGACAGGGAGCAATGGAATGGGGAGCTTTAGATTGGGTATTGGGAAAAATTTCACTGCCCTAACAGGAAATTATCAACTGTCATGGTTTGCTTTGAGCTGCTGTGGATTTGGGAAGGAACAGCCAAGGCTGAATGAGATGAGGAGGTTTCAGCTCATCTCCAGACTCTCAGGAGTCAAACAAAACCATCAGTCCCAGGCAGGTATTATCCCTGACTCGTGGAGGTTTAGATGTGTGAAACAAACTGGAAGAGCTCCCTATTAATGTCAACAAGCTTCCATAAAAAAGAACCACTGGATTTTATCACCATGGAAGGTAAGAAAAAGATGAGTGAGCAAATCACTGGTGCTGACTTGGAGAACTGCAAAAAAATCTGCCAAGCCAAAGGGTAAACTGCACAAGGGTAACAAGAACATCACAAATCCTGTTTTTATCTACAGTAAAAACCTTAAAATATTATTTTGGAAGACCTGTGCTTTCCAAAAGGACAAATCAGGGAGGCAATGAAAGCTAGAATTCCAAAAAGCACAGAGGCCAAAAGACAAAACAGAAGGTGGGCAGCTGCAGAAAGGAAGCCCAAGGGTGTGGATTTATTCCTCCTACTTGGTCCTTCCTTCATCAAAATACACCAAAACCCCACATCAAGAGCTTCCAAAACTGTATCAGGTCTCAAGGACCCTCCACATGGGCAATATATGTATTTTAATCCTGATTGGCAACATAAGAAATAAAATTAAATTCACTAGTCAAGGTGCTAGACTTCTTAACAAAGCTACCTTCCCCTTTTCTGCTGCCCAACCTGCCCTTGGTTCCTGCCCCCGCACAGGTTTTGAGTGTCTAAAATACTTGATAAAGGTTGAAATTCCATTTTATTGTGAAAGTACACCTCTTCAAAACAAAACCCAAACAAAAACCACCCTGACCTCAACCCAGCTAATTTAAACTAAAATCTCCCACTTCTAATACCCTCAATTTGCAATTAATTTACATAAGGTTTTCCAGTGCCCTTTAAAAAAATAAAGCCAGCCATTTCTATTAGGAGATCTATGAGATTCCTTTACACTGGCATGTTTACAAGGAATTACCACAGTAAAACACAGAACAGGGCAGGAAACAGCGCCTGGTCTCTCCAGCAGTGTGAGGTTTGTGTGCCATCATTGGGATGGACGTGGAAGCACCCTCCACCCAATTCACTTTCTAGGAATGCCTCAGGAAAGACTGACTCATTCCAAGTTAATCCCAAGATCCACAGAAGTTAAGGTGAAAAGGTCAAATACTTGCAGATAGAACATCACAGACAGGTCTGGGGATTTGCCTTAATTTCCTAAATAGAGAAAACTAAATTATAGATACAGCACGAAACACTGGATCCATCAAATTGGAACGTGCAGAGTCCAAATTGTGCAGCCCACAAAAATCCTCTGCTGAAGCTACAACCCCCCCACCACCACATGTTGATTTAAACATATTGGAAGAGATTTGCATAATAAATAGAACCATATGTATGAAGTTGATCAACTAGGGTCTTGTTTGTATTACTGCCCAGCTCTGGAATTCCAGTGAACTCAACCTTCATGTCCCACTCCAGGCTCCACACATGCAAGGAATTACTTTTGTCAATAATTAATCACAGTTGCATGTGCTGCTCCTTTCATTTCTGCATCACTGATCAAAAGCTTCAAATATTCATGGTGTCACTTGTGTCTTTTTAAAACGTGCACCAAGAAGATGCACAGCTGCATCTCCTTCACAAAGATTTCTTTGCCACAACAGAAGTCTTCATTTTCCTTTTCCTCAATTCTTCTGGTATTATTTCTACCACTACACTAAAGCACGAACTCCAAGAGGATCCTTGGCTGATTTAAAACCTCAGTTTAGTAACTCAGCCCCACCCAGAGGAACCTTATTAATTCCAGTATTAAGAATGAGATGTAGACTTTGGTTCCCCCACACGAATCCCAGAATGGTTTGGGTTGGAAGCAACCTTGAAGCTCATCCATTCCACCACGGGCAGGGACACCTTCCACTATCCCAGGCTGCTCCAAGCCCTGTCCAAACTAGCCCTGGATACTTCCAGGGATGGGGCAACACCTGCTGAGGTGAAATCCTGGGGTCTGATGGCCACTCTTGCCCAGATCCATGCACTCCATGGCACTGGACAACAGCTGATTCCAAGGTCTGACTGTTCCAACACTTCCTATTTAAAAAACCCCGCTAAGAATTTTCCAACAGAAAAATCTACTTCTTCAAATCCAGGAATGACCACTAAACTCTAAATAAATATTAGCAAAAGAATGTTAATGAGAGAACACAGGGTGAAGCACCAATGAATCCCAGCATCCACGATTCAAGAGGGGAGGGAAGTCATGAAAACCAGAAATGCTTCCCAGCCATTCCAGCAATAACCACAGCAAGGGCCTGGCTGTTCAGAGTCCAGCAGTCTGGCTCATTCCACCCTTGGGTTTTCACACTGGAGACCCTCTCCTAAATTAACTCCACTTACTGCCACGGGCAACAGCAGCAAGGCAGCTAATGGGACCTCTGAGAAAATGGTTCTAACTGGGGCCAATCAGATTTACACCACCCCCTCCATCCTGAGGAAAAAATCCTCCCCAGCCAGTGCAGTTTGTCTGTTTACTATTTTGGGAGAGCCTGGGCAGCCCCAATATTAACACAGCACTGGGCAGTGCCCATCAGCACCCCTTGAGCCACCAACCTTGTTTTGCCCTTTTTTTCACCTTAATCTCTCACCCTTGAGTAGCAAAAAGCTGAGAAGCTCAGAGCTTTCTCTTCCTCTGATCCACATGGAAATTCAATGGCAACCTGACCAAAAAGAGTGGTGAGGGAAGGATGGGCAGATCTCTCTGCAGGATGACATGAAAGGACTTCAATCTTTCACAATTCTTGGAAAGCTTCTCTGCAAGAGCTTCCCTCAGGCAATCCCAACGTTACTTTGCTGTCCTTCTAAATGAGGAAAAGCTGTAAATAAATAGAATATAGAAAAGCCAAGGGATTTCTTTGCAAACTCACAGCTAAAGATCCTTTTTGCTAAGAACAGGAACCCTCAGAAACATGGGAATTAAGTTAAAAGTACCAACAGCTATGTCACACACTGCTCTCCCCTTCAGTAATTTCTGCATTACAAGCAATATTTAGAGTTTCTTCTCCTTTGAAATAAAAACCTGAGAGTGAACAGGTACAGAAAATATTCCTACAAGCTTCCACTTGTCCACAAGGATGCAAATAAGGCCACACATC